CAGACAAGTACATGAGGAGAGGGAGCTGTGGAAGGTCAAGTCCAGGGAGCTAGAAGGTTTGATGGTTTCTGGCTGCAACCTCTGCCTCCTGGGTTCAAGCAATTCTGGTGCTTCAGCCTCCCAAGTAGCTGGGATTATAGGCGTGCACCACCATGCCTGCCTCATTTTTGTCTGGCATTTGCTGGAGTTAAAATATACCAAAGGAAAAGGCTGGAAGCAAAACAGCAAAAACTGGAAGCTGAAGAGAAGGCAATGAGACAAGGAGATAACTGAAGAGTAATCCAGGGTATTTTGCTAAGCATTTCATGCACAGCTGTGTGGTTCGGGTCCTGACAACTTTATGAGATACTTTCCAATTGAAAGAATGGCTCACACTGTACATGGTGAAGAGCAGAACCAGAAACTGAACACAGGTCAAATGCATTCAACCACAGTGAGCTGTACTGCCTTCCCGAATTTGTAATGTAAAAGTCAGTCTGAGTGAACTGCAGCTGAGAAGACAGTTATCCAAAACTGTGTCCAAGGATACACTCCCAACCTATACCTTTAACTTAAAAGAATGTGATTTTTTTTTTTTTTTTTTTGAGACAGGGTCTCACAATGTCACCGAGGTTGGAATGCAGTGGCGCAAACCCAGCTCACTGCAACGTCGACCTCCTGGGCTTAAGTGATCCTTCTGCCTCAGCCTCCTGAGTAGCTGAGACTACAGACTCCTACCACCATGCTGGGCTAATTTTTGTATTTTCAGTAGAGATGAGGTTTCACCATGTTGGCTGGGCTGGTCTCAAACTCCTGGGCTTAGGCAATCTGCCGGCCTCAGCCTCCCAAAGTGCTGGGACTACAGGTGTGAACCACCATGCCCGATCAACAATGTATAAATGTTTATTTTTTATAAACTTTTAAAAGAGCCATTGTTTTATTTTGGTTGGGTGAGGTGGCTCACACCTGTAATCCCAGCACTTTGGGAGACTGAGGTGGGTGGATCACTTAAGGTCAGGAATTGGAGACCAGCCCAGCCAACATGGCGAAACCCTGTCTCTATGGAAAATACAAAAATGAGGCAGGCGTGGTGGTGTACGCCTATAATCCCAGCTACTTGGGAGGCTGAGGCACCAGAATTGCTTGAACCCAGGGGGCAGAGGTTGCAGTGAGGTGGGATTGCGCCACTGCAATTCCAGCCTGAGTGACATTATGAGACCCACTGCACTCCAGCCTGGCAACTGAACCAGACTCTGTCTCAAAACAAAACAAAACAAAAAAAATTGTATTTTGTTTACTAAAAATACCTTTGTAAAATGGGGGAGGAGTCTCCTAAAGCTTACGTAAATTTCCCTTACTTGAGAGAACACACCAGGTGCCCAGTACACTGGGAGAAAACACACTCAAATGAAGGCACATCATTGTGATATTTTAGATCTCTGGGAAAAAGAAGGTTCAACACATTTCCAGAAGTCAGGGGGTAGAGGGAGATAAATAATTGAAGTAAAAATTTTTACAGCCAGGTGCAGTGGCCCATGCCTATAATCCCAGCACTTTGGGAGGCCGAGGCAGGCAGATCACTTGAGTTCAGGAGTTCGAGACCAGCCTGGACAATATGGCGAAATTCTGTCTCTACCAAAAATACACAAAAAATCAGCCAGACATGGTGGCCCATGCCTGTGGTCACAGCTACTGGGGAGGCTGAGGTGGGAGGATCACTTGAGCCCAGGAGGGGTAGGTTGCAGTGAGCTGTGATCACACCACTGCACTCTAGCCTGGTGACAAAGTAAGACACCATCTCAAACAAAACAAAACAAAACAAAGCAAAACTAGATCAGAATAGCTAAAGGACAATAAAAGAATACATTTTAAATCCTGAAGAAAAACATTTTCAATCTAACACTCTTTACCTAGTCGAACTAGGAATTGTGTATAGAATCAAGATATTCTGAAAGGTGCAAATTTCCATTTCCACATGCATGCTTTCTTAGAAAACCACAAGAGGCTTTGTGTGCCCCCAGTGGAAGCGAGGCAAGACAGAGGACACTGGACATGGGAAGCAGAGGATCCAACCCAGGAAAGAAAGGAAGAGAATCTTCAGGGTAATGGTGCAGGACAGTCCACTCGGCCAGCTGTGCGCAGGCCACCAGGCCAGAGGCTCCCAGAGAGGCCGGTCATGAGGATGATTCTGACAGAATACCCAAAGTCTCTCAGCTTCTTGACAGGAGACTTAAATAACTAGGGTTAAATTAGTGACTAAATAGCTGGAGAAATATGAAACGAAAAAAGAGAATTAGTAACACCAGGGCAAAAAAGAAATTGGGCAGGAAAGGAAAAGCATTCATAGTCTACTCAGTGGGTCAGTTGCAAGTGGTATGTACAGTGTCATAAGTCAACACTGGCTGCTCATCTAAGCCAAATCACCTGAAGACTACACAGCTGCCCCCTGACTTAACAATGAGGTTACATCCTGATAAACCCACCCTAGTGGAAAGTATCCAAAGTCAAAAATGCATTTAATACCCCAGCCTACCAAACATCATAGCTGAGCCTAGCCTACCTTAAACGTGCTCAGAACACTTAGGTTAGCTTACGGCTGGCAGAATCACGGCACGCTGGAGAGGATGGGTGGTTTGCGCTGGTGATGGCGTGGGTGACTGAGAGCTGACCAGCATCATGAAAAAATATCTACCGCGTATCACTAGCACAGGAAAAGAACAAAATTCAAAATTCAGAGTATGATATCTACTGAATGCATACTGCTTTTACAACATCTGTAAAGCTGAAAAATCCTAAGTTGAGCCATCCTAAGTGGGGACCTATATTGGGAGACAGGAAGAGGGTGTGTATAACTGGAGGCAGGGAAGAGGGCATCCCAGCTAAAGCCTCACCTTTCAGAGTAGAAAGGCAATGGATAATATCTACCACTGGGTGGGTGAGGGAACACCAAAAAACAGCATGATAAACATGTTGTTTAGAGCTCTAAGAGATGAAGATAGTCGGAGAAACGTACATTTCTGCCTGTAGGACCGAATCTTTAAAATATGGGCATAATGTGGAGCACAGTGGTTCATGCCTATAATCCCAGCACCTTAGGAGGCCAAGGTAGGAGGATTGCTTGAGCCTAGGAATTTCAGACCAGCCTGGGCAACACAGAGAGACCCTGTCCTTAGAAAAAAAATTAAAAATTATCCAACTGTGGTGGTGCATGCCTGTGGTCTCAGCTACTCGGGAGGCTGAGATGGGAAGATCGCTTGAGCCGGAGAGGACAAGGCGGCATGACGGTGCCAACTGCACCCCAGGCTGAGAGAGCAAAACCCTGTCTCAAAACAAAGCAAACAAACAAACAAAAAAGGTGCATAATTATCTCTGTCAAAAATAAAAACTATAGTAGTAATAAGGGTGATTTTGCTTACATGTTTTCCCATCTTTTTCAAACAACTTAAATGAAATCTAAAAGGATACATGCTAACATGTCAACAGTGACTATTTCTAGTAATGGGATTGTGGGCCATTTACATTTCTTTCATTTTGTATTTCCTGAAAAGTGCAGTACACAGAGCATATTGATCATAAATCAGAAAAAAAAAAAAAAAAATGGCGTTATGCTTCATGCCTGGCCCAAATCCACCCCAAGGTAGAAGGCCCATCTCCCTCATTCTAGCTTTTGTTTGCGCTGCTGAAGCACAGGAGCCTGCCAACTCCTCCATTTGCACAGCAAATATTTGTTGAACTCCTAAAAGCCAGGCCCTGCAAGGCGATTCTAATACCTTCGGCTTTTGAGTCTCCTGAAGTCCTCAATACCTGCTGAGGCAACCAGCTGGGAGAGGAGCTAAGCCAACACTTCTCATACCTTATGTGCACTATGACCACCAGGAGCTTCACAGAGCAGGTCCGGGTGGGATCTGAGACTGGGGGAGCAAGCAAGCTACTTGAGGTACACGGGATTTACTTCAGGTTTCTCAAAGGAACTGGCCAGGTGTTCAGTCACTTCTGCACCGTGATGGTGTGCCCATTCTCTAACTCCTACATAGGCTCGATTTGAATTCCCAAATATTTAACAAAAGTCTATGAGAGATGGCAGAAGGGCACTGCTGAGGCAGCTGGCAGCTGTCTCAACTGTTCGCAGTTATTAGCGGGGCCCTGCAGAAAGGCAGGCCTGGGTTTGAATCCATGCTTCACCATCCACCGGTGTGATTTACGTCCCCTCTCTAGGCCTTCACAGGGGAGGGTGGTTGTGTGGATTACACGAGGGTATGAGGACATCTGAAGGGCTTGACAACACTCTGGTACACGAAGAAGACTCAAACAGTGACCACCTCTAGCTGCTGACAGGGCTCTAGTCCTTTCTCAGCCATGAAGGACTGGCTGGGACTTCTGGGGAGATCACGTGAGTTTCCAGCCTCTATGCCCTCCAATGGAGAGAAGAACGCCCATGCCCTGCCTCCTTCCCAGGAATGTTCTGAGCCCAAACCAGGATGTGCACAGCACCTTGCAGAAGACCTCTTTGGTCCTAAAATAGGTTGCGGCACTCTGATTTTATTCAGGAAAATTTTCCTGACTCACCTCAAGGTTACTACCGGGGAGATAAATTAGGAAAAGAAAGAAGCCCTTTCCTCTTCCCCTGATCTTAGGAAAGCTTTATTTTCAGGGAAGAAACCATCCACGTGGAGATCAGGTGAGAAAGACACCAGGTGTCTCTGACACTCAACACAAACTCAATAGCCACTAACCCAAGTAACCTGCTCCCAGGATTTGCTGCCGCACGAGAGGGCCCACCAAGCTGCATTTCTCCCACAGCAAGACATCCTGAGGATCACAACCCTTTCTTCCCAGGAGAGCCAGAGTTTGTTGGACCTTGTTTAGAGAGTCTTGCACTTTGGGAAGAAGGCGAGGCTGAGCAAAACCGTTCCCTAAAGCCCGCGGGAAGATGTGAGCAGGCTCCATCCCGAGAAGCACGGCGGCAGCACGCGCCCAGGTCCAGCTGAGCCCCCCGCACCCCCCGGCCCGTCCGCACTCACGATCTCGGCCACGATGAGGAGGCCGGGCAGGGTGCGGAGGAACTCCCGGTCGTAGGCGAAGCTGCTGCTGCTGGTGGAGAAGTTCTCTGCGAAGGAGCTGGCGGTGGTGGTGACCGTGTGCGAGCGGGCGCGCTGCGGATCCTCCATCGTCGAGCCACTGCCGGGCTGGCGCGTCCCCGGGGACCCCCGGCGGGTCTGCGGCTGGACGCGCGGCCCTGCGCCCCTGGGACACAGGCGCGGGGGAGGGGAGCGCGGCCGGCGCGGGGCAGGGGGTGCGAGGGGGCGCCCGCCGGGGGCTGACCAGGCGCGACGCGTGTCCCTCGAGTGCGCGGCGCCCCTAGCGCCTCGGTGCGCGGGCTCCCGAGCTGCGCTGGGGCCCCAGAGGAAGAGGAGAGCGAGCGAGGGGAGGCTGCCGGGCAGCGGGGGAAGGCGGTGGAGGCCCGGAGGAGGGGAGGGGGCGTGGAGAGGGGCGGGCGGGAGGCGGGCAGGAGAGGAACCGCCCCGCGGAGGCGCAGCGGACGCCCAGCCTCTTCACCTGTTGCCCGACTCCCAGCTGCCGAGAAGGCGCCGCGTCGCACCCAGGGTGGCTGGGTTGGCAGCCCGGCGGGCGGCGCGGAGGAGAGGGCGCAGGGGTCCTCCTGGCCGTCTTCCGCTCCCCTCCCGGCTTTTGCCTCTGTCAGGCCCCGCCTGGCCCGGGCCTGCAGCCGCCAGTGACCTGTTTCCTTCCACCTGGGCGGGTCGGGGGCTGCGGGCATTGGGGCCCCTTAAGGAAACCCAGGCCTCCAGGAACCCCGCCGCTCCAGGACTCGGCGCGGAGGGAGTGACTGAGCGACGACCGAGGCAGGGGTGATGTGGTGCCGCGAATGTTCGGGAAACGGCAGGAATGATGACCCGGCCGGACCTTAGACCCGAAATCGATGAGAGGCCGCCAGCACTGCCCGGGAGACGGCCCGCGCTTCTCCCCCTCCTGCTGCGGCCGCCGCCAGAGCCCGGTGTTATTTCCTGCCCCTCCTGTCGGGAACAATTTGAGGAACCAACTTAATCGCTTGGCTTTGAGGGCGCGACGCTTCCAGGCGCTCTCCTCGGCTCTGTCCCGCGGACCCGTGGAGCCTGGGTGACGGCGCCTGGGCTGGAGGAGGGGAGATGTTTGGGGTCCCTGGCCAAGATGAATCAGCGTGACCGTCCCGTCACCCTTGAGGAAAAAAAAAAAAAAGTTTCAAGAAGGCTTGAAAGGTGTGATTTGTGTAAAGTTAACTTTAGGACAAATGAGCGGTGCTTTCCTGGCATGGAAAGGGGATGGGGGTCCTCCTTTACTGAGGCAGTTTGTAACAGGGTCAGGAAGAACTGAGCTCGGGTGCTTGCGTTTATCGGCTGTATGACCCAGAGCGAGTGGCTCTACTTTTCGGGCCTCAGTAATGCAGTCTCTAAAATGCAGGCTTTGACAGATGGGCCTCTGAACAAAAAGATTATCTTCCTGTTGGTCCCTCCTTCTATTTTGTGAAACGGTAGCAAGAAACATTTTATCTGGAAGCCACCAAGAGAAAAGGAAATAAGGAAAGGAAGAAAAGGCTATAAATCGAGGGTAACTTTGATTCACAGTGAAGGCATTTCTGCTGATTTGTTCCAAGACAGGTTAAAAAAGAGATCACAAGGGACATTTTCTTCACAGTGTCTTATCGAATGTGCTGAGAAGAAAGCAAAAATGACAATCTAATAAAACAAGGAATTAATGTCTTTTAAGTCTAGGACCTAGCCAGGAAGACCTCCGGGAGTAAAAGTTGAGGCTTTAAAAGCATGGCAAAGATGGAAGATGCGGAGAAATTCCATCCGTGTGTATTTGGTAAGCACCTTGGGCTGGTGGGTAAATTCTTAAAATTTAAAATATAGCACTTTTCCCTGGAGCAGTAGTTCTCAAAGTGGTCCTTGGACCAACAGCAGGTAAGTTCCCTGGGAACTTATCAAAAATGCAAGTTCTCAAGCCCCACCCCCAGACCCACTGAATCAGAAACTCTGAGGGTGGAGCCAGGAAGCTGTGTTTGAACAAGCCTTCCAAAAGACACTGATGCTTGCTGAAGTTAGCTGCTGGTTTAGAGAAACTATTAATGAGTATGGGGAAATAAGAGATACATACATGAAATGTCTGGAGGAGACTCAACCATCATGCATGACATTTAGTGAACGCAAAAGACAGGGAGTCTAGACAACTCTATTTCCATAGTACAAAGGACAATCCTCTCTTAAAATTCTTGGGGTCAGATGAATTTCTAAATTCAGATTTTGTTTTTCAATGTAGAAAGGTAAAATGTGCATGTATCATATATTACATAATACCTTCGGTAAGGTCTGGGGTGACACTCTACTAATTTTCTGCAAGGAAAATCATGAATTACCTAAGTATATGCTTGGATTATCTATTGCAATGTAACAAATGTTCACAAAACATTAGTGGCTTAAAATCACCATTTTATTTGCTCAGAAATCTGTTGTGTCAGGAATTTGGGAAGGGTTTGGCTGGCAGGTTCTTCTGCTTTGCATGGTGTGATTGGAGTCATTTACTCAGCTGCTTTCAGTTGGTGACATGGCAGGACTTAGAAAATCCAAAAAGTCTTCATTCCCATTTGAGCATTTCAGTGCTCTTTCAACTTGCTTCTCCGTGCAACTTTGGGCTTTCTAACAGTATGGATAAGCTCGTGGTGGTTGGGCTTCTACCTGGCAGCTGGCTGCTGGAAGAGACTTTCTAAGATGGGCAAATGCAGAAGCAGATCTCTTAAGGCCCAGCCCTGAAGGCTACATAGACTCACTTCCACCACATTCTATTGGTCTAAGCCAATGAATGACAAGGCCAGCCAGATTCATGCAGAGGGGAAACAGACACTACCTGTGGATGGGAGGAGCAGTAAAGAATTATGGCTGTCTTTTAATCTAGGTGAGATAAAGATAATAAATAGCTTTGCATCAGTTTAGGTTACGTTTTTCTACCAAATATGTTTTATGCAAGCTCAGGAAAAAAGTTTTGGTTTTCAGCTTTTGAGATTTCAGAATTGCAGATAAAAAAATATACACTGGTTGCTTGAAAACTAGCTGCCCCTTTCTAACTGCTGTCTACATTTGGGTGATTATCTTCCACCTGAAACTCTACTGATTGGTGCCCATTCTTCCAATAACACCCTTATCCAGTCCACCTTCCATCTTCCTGCAAGAATTATTGTCCTGAAACCCCAGGCTAAGGTACCACTCTGCACAGCATAAGGGCCTATATAAGATACTTCAGCCTATCTCTTATGATCCCTTTTCTCAACCACTCTAGAATGCATACTGTTTCAGCCCCGGATACACTTTGCATATATCTCTGTAAGTGTGATCCCTTTATGCCCATAGCCAGCTTTCCTCTTTGCCTAAAAGCCTCCTACCTTCACACAGAGCTCAGAATCTGCAATCTTCATGGCCCATTTTAAATGCCACCTTTTCTGTGATTTCTTTGGATTTCCATGAGCTTTGTTCTTTTCTTTGTTTTACAATTCGTTGATTTTATGCACTTCTTTTTACTACTTCTCAAGAGATATGAATTACCCTTCCTTGTCTGCCCCCTGCTATAGGAGGTATTGAACGAATGCTGAGGCCCAAACTGTTTTTTTTTTTTTTTAGACAGGGTCTTGTTCTGTCACCCAGACTGGAGTACAGTGGCATAATCACAGCTCACTGCAGCCTTGGCCTCCTAGGTTTAAGCAATCCTCCCCACTCAGCCACCTGAGTAGCTGGGACTACAGGCGGGCACAACTACATCCAGCTAATTCGTTTTTTATTTTTTTGTAGAGATAAGGTCTCACTTTGTTGCCCAGGCTGGTCTCAAATTCCTAAACTCAAGTGATCTTCCCACCTCAGCCTCCCAAAGTGCTGGGATTACAGGTGTGAGCCACCATGCTGGCTCCAAGCTTCATTCTTAAGTACAGAAAAATGTCAAAAGAAGAGCTAAGCCCTGTACCCCCATAATGCCTTAATGCAGAAGAAAGCTTCAAGCTGAGACTTCTGGGAAGTATTTGATTTGTAAAAATGGTGAAGAAAATGGAAACAGGTACAGCCCAAGTGACACCACATGTGTCAGGATGAGCAGGTCCTGTGCAAATAGATACAGAAAAATCTAAGAGCTGTTAGCATGGAGTGTAGGGTTTATGAAGAGTCTAAAATATGGATGTCACAAGGCCATATTACCCAATGAGCCAAAGTTATGAGACACAGCACTCTCAAAGGTCTGTAGGGTCAAGGCCATTCGGTGGAAGCCCAGGACTCATTAATAATTGAAAGAAAAAAATGGACAGCTTATAACTTCCACCTGCTCTCTGAGAAACAGAGGACCAGGGACATTCCCGTTTTTTAGGTAATTTTCATAGGTTTATGTTTCTCCTCACTGTAATTCTAGTTTTAAATTCTGGTAGTTTAGGCCAGGCGTGGTGGTTCACACCTGTAATCCCAGCACTTTGGAAGGCCGAGGTGGGCGAATCGCGAGGTCAGGAGATGGAGACCATCCTGACTAACACGGTGAAACCCCATCTCTACTAAAAATACAAAAAATGAGCCGGATGTGGTGGTGGGCGCCTGTAGTCCCAGCTGCTCGGGAGGCTGAGGCAGGAGAATGGCATGAACCTGGGAGGTGGAGCTTACAGTGAGCTGAGATAGCGCCACTGCACTCCAGCCTGGGCAACAGAGCGAGACTCTGTCTCAAAAAAAATAAATAAATAAATTATGGTAGTTTCATGCAAGAATCATCAATGGATGTTGGGTGAAAGTGTGATGAGAAAAAGGATATTTACATTATCTCTTGAAAAATAGAAGTAACAAAGAAAATAACCAAAAGATTCATTTCAAAGTCTTCAGAAGATACTATTCTCCCTTTGAAATTCATAAGTGTACAGTGGAGAAATCTTTGGGATATCACCAGACATTATGTATCTCCTAATGTGATATAGTGAGAAGGATACAACATCACTTCTGTGATATTCTTACCAAATGCATAACCTGAATTTAATCCTGAGGAGGGAGCAGACAGACGGAAATTGAGAGATGGTTTATTAAGTGTCAAGTTCATGAAAGACAAACACTGAGGAACTGTTCCGTACTAAAACAGACTAAGGAGACCTGACAGTGAAGTGCAATGTGAAATCCTGGATTAGAGCCTGGGCTGGAAAAAGAACAATAGTGGGACAATTGGTGAAATCAGAATAAATTGTGTAGATCAGATAAACACTGTGTCAGTGTTACATTGATACAATGATAACATTGTATTAGTGTTAATTTCATGATTTTGATTCTTTTTTTTTTTTTTTTTTTGAGATAGATTCTCACTCTGTCACCATGCTGGAGTGTAGTGGCGCAATCTCGGCTCACTGCAACCTCCAACTCCCTGGTTCAAGCGATTCTCCTACCTCAGCCTCCTGAGTAGCTGGGATTACAGGCTTGCACCACCACGCCTGGCTGATTTTTGTATTTTTAGTAGAGACAGAGTTTCACCATATTGGCTAGGATGGTCTCAATCTCCTGACCTCGTGATCCACCTGCCTCGGCCTCCCAAAGTGCTGAGATTACAGGCGTGAGCCACTGCACCTGGTGATTTTAATTCTTGTACTCAAGTATTAACATTTTGAGTATCTGGGTAAAAGTTTATATGAAATCTTTTTACTATTTTTTTTTTTTTTTTTTGAGATGGAATCTCAGTCTGTCGCCCAGGCTGCAACCTCCACCTCCCAGGTTCACGCCATTCTCCTGCCTTAGCCCTCCGAGTAGCCGGGACTACAGGTGCCCACCACCACGCCCAGCTAATTTTTTGTATTTTTAGTAGAGACAGGGTTTCACCGTGTTGCCCAGGCTGGTCTTGAACTCCTGAGCTCAGGCAGTCTGCCCACCTCGGTCTCCCAAAGTGCTAGGATTACAGGCCTGAGCCACCATGCCCAGCCTATTTTTGCAACTTTTTAAAGACTGAAATTGTTGCAAAAAGAAAAGTTAAGAAAATAAAAATAATTACTTACGGTTGATTAAAAATAGAGCTCTCTAATCCAAACAGTAGTTCACACTCTCCAGGCACACTGGATTTTGTGGTTTATCCATCTTAGAACTTCTGCCTCCCTTCATCTTGCTATTAATACTTGTCTTGTAGGGAAAGAAATCAGGAGCTTGGCTGAGAAGTAAGAGTGTTCTTCCAACTCCAGTCCCCAAAGCCACCAGTGAGCCTAGTCCATCTTCAGTTTGAAAATAGGAAGAGATGGAACCTAAATCCATTCACTAATGAACTTTTGGATCTCTGGTGGATTTGAGTTCCAAGAGGCTCTGTCAATTTGACCAGAGGTTTTCAGCCCAAATGACAACACGGTGAGGCATATAAGGTAAGAAAATAAGTGAATTGAGCCAGATTGTTTTCAGAATGGCCTCTTGAATTGTATTCTTCTGAACCAGACACATTTGGGCTTACATATTAACTTTGTATCAAATTCTTTACTTACACAAAGAGTACCTTCACTGTATTTTTCTCAAAACATATGACCTCCTGGGTCTCACTCTCATTTTTCTCTTTAGTTTGAGACACAGGGACAAGAAATACTTCACTTTCCTCTTCCTATGGGGAAAATAACACTTGGAGAAACTGCGAGTGTCGTGAAATCAGCCCCAGCATTTGAACTCCGTTGGGGCAGAATAGGGAGTTGGGGCGGGGGCAGGGGGTCTGTGGTGAACAGGAGCAAGAGTGCTCTAAAGGGGCCATCTCAGTTTCTGCCTCACCTGATTATTGCCTTGAAAGAATTTGGGCCTAGTGGCCGGGCTCGGTGGCTCACGCCTGTAATCCCAGCACTTTGGGAGCCCGCGGCGGGCGGATCACGAGGTCAGGAGATCGAGACCATCCTGGCTAACACGGTGAAACCCCATCTCTACTAAAAATACAAAAAAGTAGCTGGGCGTGGTGGCGGGCGCCTGTGATCCCAGCTACTCAGGAAGCTGAGGCAGGAGAATGGTGTGAACCCGGGAGGCGGAGCTTGCAGTGAGCCGAGATTGTGCCACTGCACTCCAGCCTGGGCGACAGAGCAAGACTCCGTCTCAAAAAAAAAAAAAAAAGAATTTTGGCCTTGTGTTGACAGAAATCCCAATTTTTATTAATAAATATTGGCAGCTGGTATCCTTTATTTCAAAACACAGTGTGTCGCCTTTGTGGGCCAAACAAACATATCCGAGGACCATCATTTGACGCCTTCAGATTCAGACAAAGCAAGGAGACTTTCTCTTCTCTCTCCAGCTGCCTCGGACCCCCACCTCCCTGGAAGGCCCTCCGGAGGCCTCAGAGGACACAAAATTTGGGTCAAGAGGGTGACTCTAAGAGCAGAGTAGCTGGAGGAAATATTTAGAAGAGTGGTGAATAAAACGTGAAACAAATGGGATGCTGCTAACGGCAGAAGAGGGCTTTCTGAGCCAGGGAGTTTCAGATTGGGAGACTATGGAGGGATGTTAAGAATTAACTTATTTAGAAGTAGGCATTCTTAGAAGATGTAATAATAACTAATTTATTGTTGGCCTATTTTGTGCCAAGCACTATCTTAACTCTTTGAATCATTTTATTAGGTCACTGATTTAAAAAAATTTTCTGTGTGGGGGCAGTGGCTCATGCCTGTAATGCCAGCACTTTGGGAAGCCGAGGTGGGCAGATTGCTTGAACCTAGGAGTTCAAGACCAGCCTAGGCAACATGGTGAAACCCTGTCTCTACAGAAAATACAAAAATTAGTTGGATATGGTGGCACATACCTGTAGTCCCAGCTACTCACTTGGGAGGCTGAGGTGGGAGGATCGCTTGAGCCCAGGAGGTTGAGGCTGCAGTGAGCCATGATTGTAGTGTTGCACTCCAGCCTGGGAAACAGAGCAATACCCTGTCTCTTTTAAAACAAAATTCTTAGGAGTCTTGACCTTAATGAGAAAGATGGATTTCTCAAAGTTCTTAGCTGCATCCATTGGCTCAACATTTATTTATCTAATATGCCACTCACTATTAAAATACATAACTCAATAAGACACTATCCCTTCCCTTAATGAATAAGTCATCAAGAGAGTGAGAGAGACCAGTACATCAGTGATGGGTGGGACCCCTGCCAGGCCACAGGTGGGCCCAGGGCCACCCCCATGTAAGGGGAGGCTGGTGAGGTCAGCCTGGGGCTCAGGCAGTTTCCTCAAGGAGCAGCCATTTAAACTGTTTTCAAGGGCCATTCAAAGTTAGCTAAGGAAAGAACAAGAGGACAGAGGAGGAAATTCTAGAAGGAGGGACACAACCTGTCCCAACAAGATGCATTATGACCAGTGTGTTTGCTGAGAAATGCAGCTATAGGGAGTTTCAACCCTCTGCCCCCGCAGCCATAGGAGACAATGGGCCATCCCTGCTCCCTCTGCATTCCTTCAATAAATGTTCACTAAATTCTGCTTGGCAAAGGGGCAGATGTGGAGAAATTCCATCAATGAGCATTTATGAAGCTTGAGATCAAACCGTACTCACATCCTGTTCCGGATAGTGAAAGGGCACAGGGTGTGTGTGTGTGTGTGTGTGTATAATCTTAGAAGGGTGAAATCCTTGAGTCTTTTCCTGGTCTTCAGACTTTTTACTTTTTTTAGCAATTACTTTGACAAATCAGTAGAAAATTTAAATTTCTATATATACTTAAATGTATACACACATACGTTTTTCCACAAAAATCAGTAAGAGGACTGGAGGATGGGGTGGGGGTGGGTGGATACACACAGTTCACTTTGTCCTCTGTAGGGTGGCTTAGTTAACCCCAGATCAGGTTGCAGAGCAGAAAGTAACTGAGGTTTGTTGAAGAAAGGGCAGGTTTACCTGAAACATGTCTTGAAGGGGCCCAATTCAAAGAAGGAAACAGCATTAATGACAAGCGGATGGAAACCCATGAATGACTGTGTTTGTGGATGAAGCCCAAGTGAGATGGATGTTGGTTTTAGAGAAAAGATCAGCTGAGTTTGGAGGACCTGCTCTAGGAGTTCCGTGGAATCATGGGAAATCACAAGGCAGTGGCTGCTAAAAATACCTTGTGCATGTTAATAGCACCTTGTTAAAAGTACATGGGCCAAAACCTGTAGGCTTTATTTGTATTTTACTGACAAAAATTCTAGGCCCCCTTAAAAGGTTTTGGAAAAGGTGAATATGAAGGTCCTAATGCCAACGCCTTTCTCTGCCCAAGGAGGAGCAGGAGCCTGTCCATCCAAAGCTAACAACCTCTAAAGAAGTGCCACGATGGTTGCAAAATGAAATCAGAAGCACATCAAAAAACTGGACAACAGGCCAGGCATGGCAGCTCATGCCTATACTCCCAGCACTTTGGGAGGCTGAGGCGAGCTGATCACTTGAGCTCAGGAGTTTGAGACCAGCTCAGGCAACATGGTGAAACCCCAATAGCTACAAAAACAAAACAAAAGAAAACAAACCCTTCCCAAAATTAGCTGGACATGGTAGCACATACCTATAGTTCCAGCTACTCAGGAGGCTGAGGCAGGAGAATCGCTTAAGTCTGGGAGGTTGAGGCTGCTGTGAGCCACCATTTCGCCACTGCACTCCCTGGTGACAGAGGGAGACCCTGTCTCCAAAAAAAAAAAAAAAAAAGCAGAGTAATTACACCCATAACATGCCTCACCAGAAGACTCTCTGAAAGGAACACATTAGGCAAGCAGTTTACAGAGTGGTTATTTGCTTACCACGTTATTTGGCTTTAGAAAGAATTAATTGGAGGGCTCTTCTGAGCCAAAGGAGCCAACAAACATTTAAATGTTTATGGACAATAAACTATTTGAGGAGACATGATGGAGCTGAGAAATTTAAAGGTGGCTAGGGTCTTTAAAGAGTTACCACCAAGAAACATCAGTAAAATATCAACTTTGTACAAAAGATATATTTAAGTATGCAATCTTGAAGAGTTACTAGCAAACAAAAGGTAAAATGTATTACAGGGTTTTTCTGGAAATTCTATTGCCTATCTTTTATAATGTCAAGAATCACTCCTTTGTTTTTTACTTTCCATGTTCAAATCCACTTTGCTGGAAGGTAAGTAACTGGTCCTTCGGGCCCAGCCTGTGCCTGCCTTGGGAGTTGGGGGAGAGGCTTTGGGTCCGCGTTTCTAGGCCTCCCATTGCACAAGCTGAAGTAATGTTAGCATTAGGTGTATGACTGCATGACAAACTGTTCCTCCCCTCCCTTGACCTAGTGAATCTGTAACCAGAAAAGCCAGTTAGATCTCCTGACACGTTGGGAGGGTGGGGGCTGGTGGGGAAGGAGCAGGGGATGCCTTCATGGGAGCCATGCTGTCACAGTGGGGAGTCCTGATGCCTTGCCTGTGAGGGCCTTCACAAACTTCAGAGCGTGATGGCACTGCCAGAGAGAAGAGAATTCACCATGGACACCTAGCCTAGTGCCTGGCAGATGGTAAGCATTCAACAAGATCTGGAGAGAGAAGGGTTAAAAAACATGGTACTTTTCATAAAGTCAGAATATTATGAGGCCTCCAAACATGGCATTGTGGACAGTTAAGATCCAGCTGGGCACTGAGCCTCACATATTGTTATTATTTTTCTTCTCTCCATCTCTAGGAATGGTGCACATTCGCTTTATCACACAAGGAGGAGTTTTATGTAGGGTTTTTTGTTTGTTTGTGTTTTTTTTTTGAGACAGAGTTTCACTCTTGTTGCCCAGGCTGGAGGGCAATGGCAGGATCTCAGCTCACTGCAACCTCTGCTTCCCAGGTTCAAGTGATTCTCCTGCCTCAGCCTCCCAAGTAGCTGGGATTACAGGCGTGCGCCACCAAGCCTGGCTAATTTTTGTATTTTTAGTGGAGACAGGGTTTCACCACATTGGTCAGGCTGCTTTCAAACTCCTGACCTCAGGTGATCCACCTTCCTCAGCCTCCCAAAGTTCTGGGATTACAGTTGTGAGCCACTACGCCCGGCTGTGTTTTGTTTTTGTTTGAGACAGGAGTTTCACTTTGTTGCTCGGGCTAGAGTGCAGTGGTGCAATCATAATTCACTGTAGCCTCGACCTACTGGCCTTAAGCAATCCTTCCACATCAGCCTGCCAAGCAGCTAGGACTATAGGCATACACCACCATGCCCAGCTAACTAAAATTTTTGTTTGTTTGTTTTTTGTAGAGATAGGGTCTTACTATGTCACCCAGCCTGGTCTCAAATTACTGGCCTCAAGTGCTCCTCCTGCCTCAGCCTCCCAAAGCACTGGGATTACTAGCATGAGCCACCATGGCTGGCCTTATGTAGGCTTTTGTTTTGTTTGTTTTGAGATGGAGTTTCGTTCTTGTCACCCAGGCTGGAGTGCCATGGTGCAAGCTCAGCTCGCTG